AGGGTCCGGACCCATCCCTTTACAAAAAAAAAAAAAAAAAAAAAAAAAAAGTGGGCATACTCTATGGCTTGTTGTTACAAATGTAAAAACCAACATCTGCAGGCCAGGCATGGTGAGGCTACATGCCAATCCCAGCACTCTGAGAGACTGAGGCAAGAGATCACCAAGTTCAAATCTAGCCTGGGCAACTTTTGAGACCCTATCTCAAAAAAATTTAAAGAAGGCTGGGTTGTAGCTCGCTGTGAAGGTCCTGGGTTTAGCCCCTGCAAATTAAACATAAAATGCAAAACACAACATTCAAGAATGAAATGTTTTAGCCAGAAATGGTAGCACACATGTAAACTCAGCACTCAGGAGGCTGAGGCAAGAGGTTCAAGAGTCAGAGGTAAGTCTGAGCTACATAGTTCACAGCCAACCTGGACCACATAGACCCTGTCTCAAAAAAAACAAAAAAAAAAGAAAAACCCCAAAAATAATTTTAAAACCACACTCGCACACTTTTTGCAGGAAGCAAATCGTGTCTTGCTTTTTATGGTCAGACAGCTGTACTTCAAGTCAAGTCTGTGTTACAGATGTGACCAAGGGGCTGAGGTCCACTGTGGTGGGATCAGGAGCCAGACTCATTCATCTTCCAGCTTCCTCACCTGGACACCCTTCCCTGTAATACGAGGTTAAGAATTCTTCAGAGAAAATGTTTCAGAGTCACACTGTAGAGTGCTGAGAAATCGCCCAGGACACAGTGAAGGCTGCTGTGTCACTAGGCGTCTGAGATGGTCACTGTCCCGCTGCTTTCACTGTGTGCACAGCTGCAGGACCCATGAGGTTTGTGACTGTGAAGCCTTCCGTGGGGTGATGGGAGTGTAGCCTGCACTGCCTGCAGAACAGCGCTGGGCCTTGCCAGCCCGGGTCTAAGGGATCAGAGCCCACAGCCCTCGCTGGGTTCTCCAAGCCAGGCTTCAGTTACCGCAGACACACTTGTGTGAGCACAGGTGCAAGTGTGTACAGGACGTGCTGGTGCCAGACTGTTTTCTAAATGGAAGCACATTTTAAACATTTGAATAAAAAGTCTGGAAAATGCAACCTTAAGCCAGATAGAAGCAGGAAGGCTGTAGCCATTTCAGTTTCCTTTCTGTTGTGTTTTCTTCAAAACTTTTCCTTCTTTGCTTTACATTCAAAATCTCAGCTCTAGCTCACATTTTTCCCACTTGATGAGTAGGACACTATTTATTTTCCCAGGCCCTGAGGACTAGTACCAATTCTGGTGAAACTCTGAACTTGATTTCACCTTGAACTTGGTTTGGATTTAGTGGAAATTGATTTAGTATACAAGCTTGCTGCTGCTGTCTGGTGGCATTCATTTAGGCATTATCACTATTCTAGCACTTTCTGATATCGTCATTAACACCTCTTTCATAACCAGTGTAGTGGCACGTGTCTATAGTCCTACAACTCGGGAGGCTGAAGCAGGAGGTTTGCAAGTTCAAGGCCAGCCTGCCCAACGTAGCCAGACCCTGACTCAAAATTAAAAATAAGAGTTTGGGCATATTAGCCCAGTAGTAAAGCACCCTTGGGTTCAATCCCCAGTACTGCTAAAGTAATTATGTCTTGTACATTGAGATTCGTTTGTAGTTAGTTTGCGTGTCTCGTTTTTGTGATGGTAGCAAATATTCTCACACTTCGACTTTTCCCTCTGTATTGTTATATTTGTATGTGGAATCTAAGCCATCTAATCAGTGGTAAAAGCAGCCAGCATGGCCTCAGGGTAAGCCTTCTCCCTGTGTAACCTGTGGGCCCTCATCACAGTCTTGAAAGGCAAGGTTCCTGCCCACAGACAGGAGAAGCCTGAGGGCTGCAAGAGGCCAGGGTGGGCAGGACGCCACCACAGGCCTCCCCGGCCCACGAGGAGCTGGACCTCACGTGGACACACGCTGGAGGTCTGCCTGCCTCCTGTCACTGAGGTGTGGACGTGTACAGTTGATTGGCGTGCATTCTCCCCTCCTCTACTTACGGGAGCAAGCCCTTTGTTTCCAGAACTCAGCATTTCCCATCCCGGCAAGTTGCACTTAAATTGTCATTCATCTGTTTTTAGAGTGAGACCTTAGAGCAAGAACCAGCACCTGCCTGCCTCCCCCGAAACTATTCCTTTCTACCTTTCTCTGATTGGTCACCTATATTTTTATCAAGACAGAATTGATATTAAATTCGACATTTTGTGCCAGGTGTGGTGGTGCATACCTGTATTCCCAGCGCTTGGGAAGCTGAGGCAGGAGGATTGCTGCAAGTTTGAGGCCAGCCTTAGCTACATAAGGAGTTGGGATCCTGCAGGGCATGGTGGCATATTCCTATGATCCCAGCATTCAGGAGGCTGAGGCAGAAGCATTGCTGTGAGTTTGAGGCCAACCTGAGCTACCTAGCAAGTTCAAGGCCAGCCCGAACTACATGGCAAGAAAAAACAAAATCAAAATGAGAGCTTGTCTCAAAAAATAATAACAAAAAACATTCACCTTTTATTTATTTTTTTTTTTTTGAGACAGGGTCTTCCTCTGTAGTCTAGGCTGGCCTCAAACTCACAGTGATCCTCCTGCCTCATCCTCCCAAGTGCTGGGATCACAGGCATGCACTACCACGCCCAGAAAAAAATTCACCATTTTCAGGTGTTAATAAAGTAGTACTTAGTATATTCACAAGATTATACAACATCGCTACCAACTAATTCAAGAATATTTTTTTTAATTCAAGAATATTTTCATCACCCTATAAGGAAACCCCTTACCATCAGCTATGGATTTCCAGAAATTCCACATAAAAGGATTCATGCACTATATGGCCTTTTGTAGCTGGTGTCTGTCACCGAATATAGTGATTTTAGGAATCACCCATGTTACAACGTGTCACAGCTAAATAATATTCCATTGTATGGATCTCATCAGTTGCTGACTCATTTCCCCCCTATTTTGGCTTTTATGAGTAAATTTTCCTGTGAACATTTATGTCTTCAGTTTTCAGGTGGATGCATTTTTAATTAGGTATATACATGGAATACAATTGCTGGGTTGCCTATAACTCTGTTTAACCTTTTGAGGAGCTGCCAAACTTTCCTACAACAGCTGCACCATTTTACACTCTCACCACTTATCTGTGAGTGTAAATTTCTCCACTTCTCTGCCAGCACTGTCGTTCTCTGTGGGTTTGATGACAGCAGCTGTCTGAGTAGGTGTGTGGTATGGTACGAGCTGCCCCCTTACCTTCCCCCGTTTTTTGAAAAGACTGTTCTTTCCCCACCAGATGTCTTGGTGTCCTTACTGGCAGCCACTTGCTCGGAACTATTGATTGGTTCCCTGTTCTCGACTAAATGTTGCTTGGGCTTAGGAGGGTGTAGATAAAAGTGGCTCTCAGTAGGAAGCAAGCAGGTGACCCGCTTGTGTTCTGGAGTCCTCCTTTCCTCAGCGAATTGAGGGGAGCTTAGCGTGCCTTCTGGGCCCTGCAGAAGCTGTTATACCTGCTGCACGCCACCTTCAGGCTCTAGGCAGCCTTTCTGCCATCTGAACCTGCATTTGTCTGTGCTTTACTCCACTAGTTTGCTAAGCAGAAGAGGAAACAGCAAGTGGGTTTATTTTAGAAAGGGAACTTGGTTTCCCAGAAGCCCCAGAGGGAGGAGCCTCACTGGCCAGTGCACATTCCAGAAGCCCAGAAGTGTTTCTGTGCGGTGTGTACTGTGCACAAAGGTGGTTGGCATTGGCTCCGTGGGCCCCAGTGGGGCCTCTGAGGAAATGAGGAGTGGCGCTGCCCCCAGAGGCATGAGCAGGTGCACACATGCACACACTGCCACCCTCTCTGCCAGGCCAGCTCCGAGGAGCATGGGCCCTGGCACTCATCTTGCCCTGCTGCCCCAGACTGCCCCACAGTCAGAGTATCTCGTGTCCCGGTCCCTGTCCCAGGAGCAGCAGTCTCGGATGTTTTGGTGCCAAGGATCCATTCTGAGAGGCTCTGTTCCAGGGCCTCTGCAGCACTCGGGAAAGCACTGCCCTCACAGCTGTTTTTCTGCCCACAGTGAGCTGTCTGGGGTGGCGGATGATTGTGTCTGCCATGCGAGCATTTTCACCTGAGGCCTGGCCCCACGGCTCAGCTGTCCCTTCCAGCACTGGCAGCTCAAGTCCTGCCAGAGAAGGCAGAGAAGGGCTGTGTGGGGGCCAGGGAGGTCAGGAGGGCAATGACAGGAGTGTTGGATGCTTTAGGTTTTTTAATCACAAAGAGCATTTTTTCATTCTTGCCACTGCCCCAGTAGCCTCAGGCATTCTGGCCATTACCCTGTCACACAGGTTTCTCTGTTTGAAAACTTCTAGGGTGTTGTCGGAATTCAGCAAAGCCCAGGTAAACTCTGTGCCAACCCGTGGACCAAGCCAAGAGTCAGAGATGCCTACGTTCCGGGCCCCACTGTCCCTCTACAGCCTGGCCACCAGCACACACCTGCTCTCAGACGTACCTGTGGAGCCCCTTCCTGCCCACGTGTCCTCTGGGACCCCAGACACTGACCACAAGCGGGAGTCCCTGCCCCAGGCACCCGGCGCCCCTCGTGCGCAGCAGCCAGTCACTGCCCAAGCCTGCCCTGCAGGGAGCATTTCTGGTCAGCAGCCTGCTGGGCCTGGAAGAGAGGCGAAAGAAGCCGTCGGCCGAGGGAGCAGCCTGCAGAAGGCCCTGCAGAATGGCAGAGTGGGGCTGCAGCTTGTGGTTTCCTCCCCCACCAGTCCGGTGAGTGTTCAGGCTTTTGGCACGGGGCCGGGAGTCCTGGGGCAACGCCGGCACTGAAACAGCATCTCTGCAGCTTGTGACCCTGAGCAGTCGCTGCCTTCCTCACATTTATCCCCTCTCCTGTGGCAGTAGTGTCATTCGCATCGTGAGGATGAACTTGAGTCTCGGCATGAGGAGTGGTGGGGAGGCAGCCACTGGTCCCTTCCTGCGCGTCCCCTGTCAGGCTGACCCGGACAGTCTGTGCCCTTGATGCCACCACTCCCAACTTAAGGCCTTGGCTAAGTTGTTTTGCCTCTCTGAGCCTTGATTTTTCTCCTCACTGCTTACCCATAAATTAACGTACTTATTAAAAACCAGGCTTTGAAAATACTGTACTCATTTTCCATCATTAACCAGGTTTTAAAACTCCACAATCCAGCATGGCAGCTGCCAAGCGCACGTGGCTTTGGGCCCTCGAATGTGGCCAGTCCAAATTGAGATGTGCCTTGTCAGTTAGGCACTGGGGGCGAGAGACTTAGCTCAGTGGCCCAGCACCTGCCTGCCAAGCACAAGGTCCTGAGTTTGATCACTGGTACAAAAAAAAAGCACTGGATTTTGACAACTTACTATTAAAAATAATGTAGAAATCTCTCAATAATTTGTATTGACTTACACATTAAAAGGAACATGTTTTAGGTATATGGAACTATATAAGATATTATTAAAATCTGCTGCTTTACGCATTTTTCAGCGTGGCTCACTGTCCTGTTCTGGAATGAGCTCACCCCGTTCACCCATAGCCCAAGGAAAGCTAGCCTGGGCATTGCCCAGGAGAGCTTGGGCCAGGGAGGCCCCACCAGGACCAGGCACTCGCTGCTTGGCCACATCTGTCTGTTCTTGCCTGCCTTTGACATTTCCCAGGCAGAGTTACTGATTTATTGAGTGTTCGCAGGAGTACCTGTGGGTATCTGCCCTCTGTAACTCGAGCCCCAGCCACCCAGCAGGGCAGGGTGTGTGTGTGGACAGCTGCTGAGGAACACCCAGGAGGCCAGGGGAGGAGAGGGAATGAGACCATCACCCTGCAGCTGCTCTGACCACCTCTCTATCCAGCCATCAAAGCAGAGCCGTGAAGGCCAAGCTGGGAATCTGCACAAAGACACACAAAGCCCATGTACTGAGCTGTGGTCTTTCTCTTCACTGCCTCGCCCTTGGGCCACAGTTTCTAGATCATAACTCAGGGAAGGGCCCATCTTGCCCTCTTAATCAGCTTTAATCGAGCTAGAATTCACATCCAAGTGATCACCTCTTTAGAGTACCATTCGGTGGTTTCCAGTAAATTCATAGGATTGTGTAACCACTCCCGGCACATTTTAGAGCCTTTTCATCCCCACTAAGGAAACGCCCTGCCATTGGCAGCAGCCACTCCCTACCCTCTACCCTCCACTCCTCACACCCCAGGTGACCACCAGTCTACTTTCTGATTTTTGTTTTGTTTTTTCCTGGTAATAGCAGTACCAGAGCCTCCTGCATGCTAGATAGCAAATGCTGTAGTATTGAGTTGTATTCCCAGCACTTTATTTTCATTTTACTTTTTGGCTTGATTGGCTTTTGCTGTGTGGCCCAGGCTGGCCTCAGACTTGCAGCAATCTTCCTGATTCAACCTCCCAAGTGCTGGGATTACCGGCTGTTTTCTTTTATTTTGTTTTATTTCAGAGGCAGAATCTTGCTGTTTGGCCAGACTAGCCTTTAACTCATGACCCTCCTGGCCTTGGACTCCCGGGCAGCTGCAATTTACATGTACATAGTTTAATCTCCTTTCTGTCTGGATAGATGTGACTATTCTGGAAATATCATATAAATGAAATTGTACACTATGTGACCTTTGTGACTTCTTTGGCTTAGCATGATATTTTTTCAGTTTCATCAGTGTTCTAACATTGATCAGTACTCTGTTCCTTTTCACTGAGAGTAATGTTCCATTATATAACTCAGTCACATGGTATTCATGTCTGCTCGTGTTGATAGACATCTGTTAGTTCCACTTTTGGATGTTAGAGATAATACTGCTGCAAGCATTTGTGTATCATCAGTTTTCCTGTGGGTGTATGTTTTTAATTCTCTTGGACACGTAACTAAGATAGATCATATGGTAGCCTTTTGTGCAACTGCCAACTGTTTCCCAAAGAACTGGCACTATTATATATTCCCACTAGTAATTTGTTTGATTTGGTTTGGTTTGGTATCAGGAATCAAACCTGGGTCCTTGTGCTTGTGAGGCAGGCGGTGGAACCACTAAGCTAAATCCTTGGCCCTGTTTTTTCGTTTTTCGAAACAGGGTTTTCTCGTGTAGTTCAGGCTGGCCTTGAACTCACTATAGTGCCCAGGCTGGCCTCAAACTCCTAGCGATCCTCCTTCCTCAGCCTCCCAAGTGCTGAGATTACAAGTATGCGCCACCATGCCCAGCTTTCCCGCTAATAATTTATATCTCCACATCCTCACCAATAATTAGTATTATCTAGGATTTTTTAAGTGATCACATCTATCCTAGTGATTAAGAAGTACAGCTCAGCCCTGGTTGTAAAGACATTGATGCTTTTAATTTGCTTAGTGGCCTTTTGCTCTTTTTAAGGAAGTGTCCATGGAGTTCATCATCCTGTTCTTAAGGGTGGTGGTGTATGTTTTCTGTGTTGACTTGTAGGGCCTCTTTATAGATCGTAGGTACACATTTTTTATTGGAGGGAGGGAGGACGGGAAGAAGAGGGATTCCAGGATGGTTTACCTTTAAGTCTTTTAACGGTATTTTCCATTGAACAAAAGTTCTTAATTTTAATGATATTCAGTTTATCAGTCATTTTGTTTATGATTTGCCTAGATTTACATGTGTGTTGTGCTATTTAAGAAATCTTTGTTTACTCCAAGGCTCTGGCATTCTTCTGTGTTTCCTGGTAGAAGCTTGTGTAACTTGCCATACACGGTGAGGGTTGTAGTCCTTGGAGGAGGACTACCGGCAAGGCTCATGTTGCTCCACACGGTTATCTAATTGACATAGCACTGTGCATTGAATGTGACCATGCAAATCACATAACTGTGTGGGCTGGGGTTCTAGCTCAGTGGTTCCACTGCCTGCCTTACAAGAGCAAGGACCTGAGGTCTATCCCTGGTACCGAAATTTTTTTAAAAAAGCAAATTATGTAACTGTGAGCCCCCTCTGCATTTTTTACCCTGAAGGTGGCTTCAGTAAAATGAGTGTTAGGGATCCCGAAGGTTGTGACCAGCAGCTGGCTCGATCCAGAGCCAGAAGATGTCTCCTGGGGTGGAAGCCTTGGCCATGCCGAGCTCGCCCCCGCCGAGGACCTGGCCTCTGCTGTGCAGCCTCAGACACACGTCCGCCAGGGCCCCAGACTTGATGGGACAGAACTGCTGACTTGGTGACAAAGCCCCTCCCCTGCCCAGTGAGCAACCTCTGGCCTCCTCGCAGCTCCCTGGGCAAAGCAAGCGCTTGTTCGAGAGCACTTTCCTGACCTGCCCCGGATCCTCACTGGGATCTCAGCTTCCAGGGTCCCATCCAGCTACTCTGCTTGTCTTTAACTGTTATCACTGTGTGCAGACATATCGGGTATTTGTCTGCTGAACTATTTTCTGTGTTTGTCGTTGGAATATTGGCTCCTGACACACGGGGCTGTGCCTGTTCCCTATCACTCTACCTGGGAGAATGGCCATCATTTGTGTTTCTTGGCTCTGCAGATATAGCCATGCAAGTTTACTTGGAGCAGTGCATCCTCGCGGGTCTGTGCCAGGCAGGGTGGTCTAGGGAGCGTGGAATCAGAGCCCTTGGTGCTCGGCCAGGTGTCAGAGTCCTGATGCTGCCCTTCGGCCTTCAGAGGCTCTGTTCATCCATCGCTCTCCCTTCGTGGGTGGGCGCTGGCCAGCACTGCAGCCAGCCTGCACGCAGGGCTCGGCAGGCTCCCTCCCTGTGTCAGTGCTGGGTGTGCCTTGTGCGTCTGCCCCTGCTGTCCTTGCTCTTCAATGCTTCTGTCATTTGGTCACATGCTTTTCATTTGATACATTTATGGAGGGGTTGGAGTCACTGTCAAGTTCTGTAAACCTGAAAGCAATTCAGTCTTCTTTTTTTTGAGGCAAGGTCTCCCTTTGTAGTCCAGGGTGGCCCTGAACTCACTGTGTAGCCCTGGATGGCCTCGAACTTGCAGCAAGTCTCCTGCGTCAGCCTCTTGAGAGTTGGGATTATAGGTGTGTGTCACCATGCCTGACAGTTCAGTCTTTCTTTTTAAAAAGTTTTGTTTTAATTCATTCAGCATAAAGCACTAACTGACTAAGCACCGTGATGACTCCTGGGGATGGAGATGGAACAGGACAGACCAGAGCCCTACCCTTTGGGAACAGGCACTGAATTAGACAGGTGAACGATTCACACCATGATTGCACTTGTGCTGAGAAAGATGGGTATGGGGAGCAGGTGACTCCATGGCACATGGCCTGGTCACTGACCCCCTGGACCACCTGTCTGGGCGAGGGCCCCTGAGCTGTGGGTGTGAGTGGTCCCCTTGCCTGGGTGGGAAATCCTAGAAAGCAGTCCAGAGACCTGATGCTCACTCCTAGCCAGACCCACCTCTGGGACATAGGTGTTATGCCCCACATCGTGGTGCTTGGGTAGGTGAAGGTAGCATTCCTCTGCCCTGGGGCCCTGGGGCAGGTGCCACTCTGGAGCAGATCATGGATCAGTGGTGAAGGCGCAAGGAGCTGGCCAGATAAATGGGCCTGAGCGAGCAGACGTAGGAGAATTACAGAGAGGGATGAGACAGGCAGATGAGCAGCTACACCCTCACTGTTTCTTCCCACCCCAGTCCCATGGTGAGTGCCCCAGCCCTCGCTCCCGGGAGCTACCTTCTGTTACCTTCCCGCTGCTGACAGAAGCAAAGGTTGTCCCCAGAGGCTGCTTGGCCTGTGGACTGTATCTCACATTTCTTAGTGGTCTCTGGTCCTCAGGGGAGAGAGAAGCCCTTGCTATTCCTAATCATAAAATTCACACTTGTTGGCTAGCTATATAGGTCCATGGTAGAGTACCTGTAGCATTCATAGGTACCCTAGATTCCATCCACAGTACTGGGGAGAAAAAAGTACTTCATGATGGCAGAACCAAAATTAGCAACTTCTACCATACAACATGTACAATCATACTATTAGTATATAGAATTTATTATTAGGATGGAGTGGCATAAAATATCACTGATATGATTATAGGTTAATAAGTATAAAAACTACAGTAATAAAATATGAATATAAGTAAGACAAAATTTTTGTTGCCTTAATAGCACAGCTTTCTCCTACAGTGCCTTCTATAAGAAATTTAAGTTACTGTTTTTTTGCAGCTTAAGTGTATATTAATGGCAAAGTTATGAGTTGAGTAATTCTGTCTCTGTGTAGATTTCCCAAATAAAATATTGCCATTATCTGGTGGGGGCGGGGAGCATACTTGGCTCTGTCGTCCTAGTTCCTGGTTCAGCCCACCTCTGTTATTTTAGAGTCATTAAATAGTCAAGTTCATTCTGTCATCTCTTGATTCTGCTGTGCACTTCTGCTGAGGTTGTCAGGAGAGAAGACTGTTCCAAGCAGCCTTGTAGGTGTTCTCTTGAGGGTGAGAAGGAAACATGACAGGCACCTCTAGAGGAGGCTGGGGACAAATAAGGAAGCTTCTAGGAGGAAGCAGACGAGTCCTGAGCCAGGTCCCAAGGCACAGTCCAGATGTGTGAGGCTGCAGGTTGGTGAGACTGCTCCCCCGCCGTTTTCCTTCCGGAGTCCCCTGGGTCCTGATTACCCAGGGCTTTGTGCAAAGCCATGGCGGTATCTGGTCCCCACGGACACAGGACACATCGTCTGGTCCCTGGCAGAAGGAAGCACCTGCCAATTCTGAGGGCCCATGGAGGAGGGTCCCCAAGTACCTGACTCAACTTCAGAATCTTGTGCTGTTTGAACGGAGAGTGAACCAACTTTCCCGGGACAGCCCAGCCCCACTCCTTCTCTGCTATAGAAGGAAGGGGTGCAGTCTCGCTTTGGAGTTGGGAAACAGCACTGTGAGGTGAGGCCTGGCGGGCCATAGCCTTGCGTGACTCATTTCCTCCGCACAGACAGCCGCTTATGGCAGCCCAGCCAGCTTCCGTGCCTCTACTCTTCCATGTTTAGGTACGGAAAGACAGTAGTAAGATAGTGGGGAAAGAAATGAACTGGAGTCCGTTCCCACAAGCCGACTGACCCCAAGCCTCCCCTGCTTCCCCTGTCAGTGAGCTACTTGAGGGTCAGAGCAGAGCAAAGCGGGGAGCAGAGGCAGCCGGCGAGGACCTAGCCCTGCCTGCCACTGCGTCCTCAAACCCTTCCAGCAGGGTAGAAATACCCAATATGGGGATATTGGAGACCAAGACCTATGTGCGCCTCCACCCTCCGTGTGTGCCCCTCCACCTTGTGTGTGTCTGTGCCCCTGATAGGAACTTTACACCCTTCCGGGGACATCCTAACCCCTCCCAGCGACATTCTGGCCATGCCCTACCTTATCTAGCTAGACCAGCCTAGATTAAATAACCTAACAACCGGGAAAGTCCCTACTCATCCCTGCCTACATAAAAGCTACTATGTGAGAAATAAAAATTGTCAACTTTTGACCACTAAAAAAACTCTATTTGATTCTTATCTTCCTACACCATTCCCATTCCCAATCCAAATATTCCCCTCCTCGAGCCCTACTAATAACAAACCCCGCTAACCGGGACAGGGGACTGTGGATACCCACCTGCAAAAGAATAGAGGTGCACCCCTTCCTCACACCTACCCCGAAACATGCTTAAAATGAGCCGTAGGCCTAAATATGAGGGCCAGAAGTACAAACTTCTTACCAGAAAACAGGAGTAAATTTTTGTGGTGATGGCTGTGGCAGTGGTTTATTGATACAACACCAGGAGCACAGACAAAAAAATAAAAATAGATAAATTGTGCTTCATCGAAATGGAACTCTGGAGAAAAAAATATGAGAAAAGGAAAAAAATGGAAACAAAGTCTTTGTAAATAGAGAAGGGAGGGCAGGAATATGGGTGAAAAACAAGAACCAAGATACATCATGTAAAGGTACAAGATCCCAGTGATGAATGTAATTGTACTGTTTACCTAAAAAGTACCAATAAACTTAATGAAAAAAAAATTTTTTGAACTTGGGGCCAGGGATTTAGCTCAGTGGCACCAGCACCATGCCTGCCTCACAAGCACAAGGTCTTGAGTTCGATCCCCAGGACCACAAAAACAAAAACACAAACAAAAATTAAACTTGTGCTTCAGAGGATGATAGAGACTACTCTATTAGCAAGTTGCATACCAAAAGGGCCCAGTACCTGTAATATGCAAAGACCCTTTACACCTTGTAGCTCCCTAAGGCAGCCAAGACTGCGTATCATAAACAGGTTAAAACAGCAGAAACTTACTCTTTGATGGCCATAGACACTGGGGTGGAGGCCTTGGCCACGCCGAGCTCACCCCTGCCTAGGACCTGGCCTCTGCTGTGCAGTCTCAGACACACGTCCGCCAGGGGCACAGGCCTGTTGGGACAGAACTGTCACATGTTGGTGACAGAGCCCCACCCCTGCCCACTGAGCGGCATCTGCCCTCCTCGAAGCTCCCTGGGCAGAGCAAGCACTTGTCCCCCTCCTCCTCAGAGCAGGGTGGGCTCCATCTGGAAATTCTAAGGAAGAATCTGTGCCGTGCCTTTCTCCTCACTTCTGGTTGCTGGAAAACCTCAGCATTCTGTGGCTTGTATCTGCATCACTCTAGCCCCTCCCTCCACCATCACTTGAGTTCTCCCTTGCTGTTTTATTCTTGTATTTGGATTAAGAAGGGCCCCCAAAGGTCTTGTGCTGATGGGGAGACTTTTAGAAATGATTAAATCATGGGGGCGACATACCTGACTTACTGTGGGGAAATGGGGGTCTGGCCAGTAGAGTTTGCTCACAGGGGTGCGACCTGGAAGGGACGATCTCCCTCCCCAGCTCCTTGAAGCTCCTCCTTCTATTCTGTTTCCTGGTCACTATGCCATGAGCAAGTTTCTTCCACCCAGGCCCTTCCACCATGTTTCTGTGTTTAAGCTTGCCAAACCTGGACTTAAATTCTGAAACCATGAGCTAAAATAAACCTCTCCTCCTTTAAGTAGCTATTGTCAGGTATTCTGTCTGTGCGCACACGTATGCATGTGTTTCCTTCTCTTTGTACAAGAATGTGAGTCGTATTGCATTAAGAGCTCACCCTACTCCTAAAGGCTCTCATCTTAATTAAATACATATGCAAGGGCTCTATTTCTAAGTGAGGTACCCAGAATCTTTAGAGAGCATGATTCAGCCCTTAACAACTAAAAGATAACCCAAAATTGTGGATACAAATAGATTTTTCTCAAGTCAATGTGTGTACTAATAACCAATAAGCTGAAAAGATGTGTCATCAGACATTAGGGAAATGCACATTAAAGCCACAACAGGATAGCACTTCCCACTCATCAGGAAGACTAGAATCAGAAGACAGAATAGTGCATTACTCGGGAGAATGTAAAATGGTATGGGCACCTTAGAAAACAGTCTAGCAGTTCCTCAAGAAAGGAAACACGGGGCCCAGGATTTAGCTCAGTGGTACTGCGCCTGCCTCGTAAGCACAAGGTCCTAAGTTCAATCCCCAGTACCCCCAAAAAAAGAAAGGAGAGGTCAGGGATTTAGCTCAGTGGTTCTGCTGCCTGCCTTGCAAATACAAGGACCTGAGTTCGATCTCTGGTACCAAAAAAAAAAAAAAAAAAAAGGGAAACGCAGAGTCACCTTTATCCCATATCCCATAGCTCCACTCCCAGGTATGTGCACATAGACAGGAAAACAAGTCCACACAAAAACTTGTTCATAGATACTCACTACAACCAAAAAGTGAAAACAACCCAAATGTCCATCAACTGATGGAAAGATAAATAAAATCTTATGTGTTCACACAGTTATTTGGCAGTAAAAAGAAATGCGTGCTGATACATTTTTGCACCATGGGTGAACCTTGAAAACACTATGCTGGAAGGAATGTCAGTCACAAAAGATCACATATTATAAAAAGTACAAATCTGCAGAGATAGAAAACTAGGCAGCTGCCTAGATCCAAAGTGGTCTTGGAGAAACGGAGGGAATTCCCAGTGGATGTGAGGTTTTGGGGGATGAAAATACTGTGAACTTCAACTATGGTGGTTGTATAGTTCCGTGAGGAGACCAAAACTGTTCATACACCCACTCTTTAAAACAATGCTATGGTAAGTGAATCACAATTAAAGATCTTTTTAAAAAGTTAAAAGCAGGCTGCCTTTATCATCTTTCTTTCTAGAAAAGCAAGAGCTGGATCTCCGAAGATGACTTCTATCGGCCTCCCCAGGAGCCCACTCCCAACAGTGCTACAGTTGCTTCTAGACGACCCCCGGAGCCGAGGGCTGCTCTCCACAGGCACTGCTCTCAAGGACCGAGAAAGAACTGCTCCCTGGGAGCCCTGAACAAGATGTCTGTGTCTTCCCCAGGACATAGGAATGCCAGGGAAGCCCCTGTGCAGGAGCACAAGAACTTCTGTGTGGTACACCGGCGGCAGATGGGTAGGTGGCTCCACAGGGTCCCCTCTGCAAGGACCATGCTTTTCAAAAAGTCCTCTTTGCCTTTACCCAGCAGGAGCTACCTTTTAGAGCTTTCAGTGATGCAGACAGCCCGCTGCAGCATGGGTGCCAGGGGTTCGCCACCACTGTCCTGAAATGTAATACGTCCAGTGCACTCGTGCTCAGTAATTCAGAGAATTGCTACATTGTTCCCTAAAAATCTTATTTAAAAAAAGTGTCCAAAGCTGCCAGAGGAGAATAAAGATACTTCATTACTGAAATGGAAGTATTCCCCCTGGAGTTAGGCTGTAAAATTTAGGATGACACAGAAGTCTTGATTCAGGCTCAAAGCAAACCCTGCCCAGGTGTCTAGCAGCTCCTTCCAAAGGTATTTATCTCTATTCGTTTAAAACTCTGGTAGGGTTTATCTGACCTGCTCTTGGTTTTCTGTCTTTCCTGTGCTATGTAGAGTGAAGCTAGCTTGATTTCTACACACTGTGAAAGTCCAGAAAGCATTAAATAGTTGTGACCTAATGTTTGCGTTGCCTCCAAATGAGTTTTCTTTTAAATCAACACAAGTGTGTCCAAACACGGATCCTCCTCTCCTCGTTTTCTGTGTGCCGTGATACAGCAGAGGGTTCGTGGCCCTAGTCTGGGAATGTAGGCAAAGCTCTGGTCTCCATGCAGCTTCCTCTGGGTTCATCGCTCAGCCCACGGCTGTGGTGTGTAACCATGTGGAGAGTGTGTGCTTGGCCGTCAGGCGCCCTGAGGTATAGGAAAATCCCGCACAGTTGTTTCCAGCCTCTGGGGAGGAGGGAGCTGGAGCGTTGTGTGGCACATTGGCATCCGCCGCCCACGCGTTCCTCGGTAGTTTCTGAGTGTTTGTGATGTGCCCAGCCCAGTTACAGGTCCTGGAGACACAACAGGCAGCAGAGTAGTTCCCTACCTCTGTGGGATGTGCTTTCTAATAGGAAAGACAGAAGAGAAGAGCGCTCCAGGAAGGCCTTCGCGTTTGGCCAAGGGATGCCTTAGTGCCCTCCCCAGAATCCGTGGAACAAGGGAACGAAAGCCAGATTTAGGCGAGTTCAAGAAGGAATAGGAGCCGCGAAACCGAGGACAGGTGTTGGTACTTCCTCATGCCGCTTCTCTGTAGAAGGGACCAAGAGATGAGTGGGACTGAAGACGGGCGTCCAGATTAGAGGAAATCTAAAGTGGGCTGAAGTGCAGCGTGTTTGTGTGCCTAAGAAGGGAGTAGATGGCACAGGGGGGGATTGCTGGAGAGATGGCCTCGAGCGGGCAGGGGCTGGGAGGTCCATGCACTCTGGTGTGGGAAGGGGGTGCAGACGCGGGTGCTGGAGGGGGACGGTGAGAGGACTGTGTGGAGGGACTCTGCCGAGTGCATCCGTCCTCCAGTGACGCTAGGAAGCAGCGTCAGCGGCCAGGCACAGAGGCAGGGAGGCTGCCTCCCTAGGTATGCCCATCTGGCTTGTGAAGTCCTGCTTGGCATCCCTGTGGCCCACTGTGTCCACCCCCGGGACATTGGGCACCAAAGGCGGCGAGGGAGCTAAAGGACGAGGCCCACATACTGACCTGCCTCTTTCTGCCTCCAGGGCTGTCCAACCCGTTCCGGGGCCTCCTAAAGCTGGGCACAGTGTCACGGCGGGGAGCCATGGGCATCTGGAAGGAGCTCTTCTGCGAGCTGTCCCCAATGGAGCTCCGACTCTACCTGAGCGCTGAGGAGCGCACCTGTGTGGAGAGCTGCTCCCTCCTGCGCTGTGAGGCAGTCGGGCCAGCCCACAGCGATGGCCGCTTCGAGCTGGTCTTCTCCAGCAAGAAGTTGGCCCTGCGGGCCTCCTCCCAAGATGAGGCTGAGGACTGGCTGGATCGGGTGCGGGAGGCTCTGCAGAAGGTCCGGCCGCAGCAGGAAGACGAGTGGGTGAGCATCCAGGATCCAGATCGGCCCGAAGGCCCGGCTGAGGCTCCCCCTGGTGGCCAGCCCTCCGGCTCAGCCCCGCTCCCAGAGTCAGCCGTCCCCCAGAACTGGCAGTGTGCCTGGATGTCGGCCCAGGTTCCGGAGCCAGATGCCATCAAAGAGTCTCTTCTGTACCTGTATGCAGACAGGACCTGGATGCCCTGTATTTTTTCCCTGTCCTTGGATTCTCTGAAGTGCTTCCGCGTGAGGAATAACGAGAAGATGCTCAGTGACAGCCACGGAGTGCAGACGATCCGAGACGTCCTGCCGGACACGAGCCTCGGGGGCCCGGCCTTCTTCAAAATCGTCACAGCCAAGGCCGTCCTGAAGCTGCAGGCCGGGAACGCCGAGGAGGCCACCCTGTGGAGGGACGTGGTTCGCAAGGTCCTGGCGTCGTACTTGGAGATGGCTGAGGAGGCCGTGACACTTGGAGGGAGTCTGGACGAAAGCTGTCAGGAAGTGCTGAAGTTTGCCACCCGGGAGAACGGCTTCCTCCTGCAGTACCTGGTGGCCATCCCCACCGAGAAAGGCCTGGACTCCCAGGGCTGCTTCTGTGCAGGTGCCCGCCGACACCCACCACCTATCCCACAGCCAAAGGTCCCACCCGCGGGCACCCCAGCCTCCCTCTCCAGCTCCCTCAGGGTGGGCCTGTAGGTGGCAGCTCTGCTTTCTGCGCCTTCTGCCCCTCCTGCATCCTCATGGCTGTTCTTTCACAGCAGAGGCGTTGGGGTTCTTCCCAAAATAGATTCTGGCTTGCTTTCGCAAGCTGTGCTGTTCAGTGCCGTCCATTGGAATGTTCACTGATGATGGAGGTTTTCTAGGTCTGTGCTGTCCAGCTCAGCAACAATGAACACAGTGCAGAAAGTGTGGCCCGTGTGGCCAAGAAACTGTATTTTCATTTAAATTTTATTTAAATATAAAGGGTTACCTATCGCTCACGGCCACTGTCTTAGGCAGCATACATCCATATAGTTTTGCGACTTGTTTTTTTTCTCCTTAATAATATATGGCGACTAGCGCTTTCTGTCAGTACCTCTGCTACAGAGCGGTCATCGTGGAATCACTTTCACGAGCAGCACAGGGTCAGTACTGTATTTGGATTATCTCATTTGTCTTGCACGATGGCCCGTAGAGATGGGAGCTGCTGTCGTCTCTATAGGTGAGGAAGCTTAAGGCTCCCAGCTGAGAAGCTCTTGCCTCAGACTTCACAGCCAGTAAGTGGCAGAGCAGGCTACACGGCCAGCCAGGCCGAGCCTGTGCTCTCAGGCAGGACCCCAGAGGGTCTCCCCTTGCCCAGGCTGTGCCCCAGTGGTATCTGCCTTCCCTGCAGCCGGGGGGGGGGATGCCCACTGCCTACTACAGAAGCAGAGAGGCCGAACCACGGCTTCAGAGCGGTCCTGGTGGAGTGGAGCCTGTGGGACTGCGTGAAGCCTGCTTCAGGTGTCAGGACAGGAGAAGCCAGCAGAGCAGGGTCTCCTGCAACAGTGTGGGTGAGGTAGGCCCTGCCTTTGGGTGTGAGGGCCGTAGGGCTGCACGGTCCTCTCCTTGAGCCCTGCCACCCTGCCAGCAGGTGCGGTGAAACCAGGGAGTTCAGGCTTCATTTCCACCCTGCAGTTTTTCCGTAAAAGGCCAAGCAGACACCAACCACTGACATCTTTGTTGTCATTCAGGTACAGGGTGCCAGAAAATCCTCACTGCTATGTGCTTTGCCTTTGCAGTTTGTCTCTGTTTTATTGTTTTTGTTTAGATTATCCTGGCGATACAGCACACATTTCACAAATGCTGGGCGGATGCTTCCCACTGAGCTACTCCCTGAGCCCGAATTTATCCTTTGTGATAACCCTGAAAAACAGCTAAAAGTAGCTGAGTTTTACAGCTGCTGAAATGGAACCTTGAGAAGCTTAGGTGCATGTCAGGATGAGGCGGTTGATCTCAAAGCCAAAAGAATGTTTCCCTCTTCTCTGGGGGGAAGCAGGGCGTGGGTCGAGGCTTCAGCTGGGCCTCGGCGCTCTGCCCTGGGTTATCCCTTCCCACTGCCCCTGCTGTAGAGAGTGCCCGCTGTCAGGTGGCTCCGGACAGTGTCCAGGCTGCTGTGCCCTCGCTGACTTCCTGTGGCACGGCCACCGCTCACCCAGGCCCACACTTGGTTATTTCCATCTCCAGGCCCCCGTGGAGGGATGAACGAAAAGCACTGGGGAGCAGGGAGTAGATTCTTGGGACAGAGGCTTCCAGGTACAATGATGAGAATGGGACTTCCAGCCAGCCAAGTCCCGAGGTGACCAAAAAGACTTCTCAGTCTCTGGGCATCAGTTCCTCATCTGTAAAATGGCAGCAGTGACTCTTGCAGTGTACAGTTGCAGTTAATAGTATTAATTCTGGAAGTACAAGTGATGGTTTTTACCTTTGTACTTTCAAAGAATACAAACTAGCAGGGCCTTCCTGTCAGGGTAGCTGCTGTTATACTCTGAGCTGACTCTGGCCTTTGCCTCCCATCCACCCACCACCTCCTCCCCAGGCTGCTCCCGGCAGATTGGCTTCTCCTTTGTACAGCCCAAGCTCTGTGCCTTCTCTGGCCTCTATTACTGTGACATCTGCCACCAGGACGACGCCTCAGTGATTCCAGCCAGGATCATCCACAACTGGGACCTCACCAAGCGTCCGGTAAGTCTGCAGGCAACCTGTTGTGACCACGTAAGGTGCTAAGTAACCCAGCAGTGTTCTCCCTTCTGCTACTGCTCTTTGTCTGGGGGAGTTTGGCTAGAAGAAAGCCAGGGTCCTGGTTCAGTGACCAAGAGAAAAGCTAGATGACTACCCAAGTCCAGAGCAGAGCTCTGAACACGTGCTTTGGTCCCCAAGTGGAGTTTTGGAGGTTGGTTCTCTGCAGCTCCCACAGTGACAGAACTGTTTCAGGCCCTAGTAGCTAGCAGGTAGCTAGGTAGGTAGGTGCGTAGGTGAGTATAAGGACGATTAGGATACGATAGATTTGATGTTGATGGATGGATGGGGTAGTGGGTAAATGATAGATGGTGGTGGGTGGAGAGCTGGCTGGGTGGTGGGTGGGTGGACAGGATGACCAGCTGGTTGGCTACACCCATTGGCTTTGTCAGCCCTCCGAGACCCAGCTGACTGTAGTTCTCTGCAGGCCCTGCATGGCCTTACTTTTTTCATGTCTAGGAGCATTTTTTTCTGGGGCTCCATCCATTATTAAGACAGTACGTGATCAAAGACAGATCAGAATTTTGTCAGCTGGACATGGTGGCACATACCTGTAATCCCAGCGCTCAGGAGGCTGAGGCAGGATTGCCTCAAATTCAAGGCCAGCCTGGGCTACAGAGTGAGTTCAAGTTCAGCCTAAACTACGTAGTGAGACCTTGTCTCAAAAAACAAAACAAAACAAAATTTAATTTTGTGTCATAGCTCAGAGAGCATCACTCGACATTTCTGGGGCACAGCCATTCTGTGCGTTTATTTGTATGTGTGTCCACTCACTGCGAAGTTGGGGGTCATGCTGGACTCATCCCGCTCAGTCCGTGTGCTCACTTCACACCACGTCTCGTGTACTTTCTTACGTCTACCTGACTCTTCTGAACAAGACCTCTCGGAAGTTCCCTTTCTGTAGCTGAGCTGAGCCAGCTTTCTAGCTGTGGTACCACGAGCGAATTAGCTGGGTTTCCTTGTCCCCACTGGGATGCCTGACACTGTGAGGATGGGTGTGGCAGGAATGCTCCTCCCTGAGAGCGCTGCTTCCAGCAGGGCCCACCCCAGCCAGTCACGCCGTTCACCCATCGGGGTCTGCCTCAGGAACATACTTGGCTCTCCTGGAGGCTCAGACTTCCATGTCAGCAGCCCTGAGACATGGGAGAAGCTGCTTGCTTCATTGGAGGCATAGGCCATGTGTGCAGTCTTGGCCTGTGGCAGTGTCCCTGAAATACGGGAAAGCTTCTCCATCAGTGGGAAACCCAAAGTCAGCTTCACAGTGGCTATTGCATTGTTTATCTTGTCCCCACCTCTGCCCTCAGTTCTAAATATTTACATTAGCACACAGAGAAAATTAGCCCTCAAAAACCCTTTCACTATGAAGCACTTACCCTCCTTACAAGGCCTGATGCTTCTGCTCATCCATCTCTTCACTGATTGCTGGAGTCTTTGTCCTCACCTGTTTCCTAACTAGGAAATCCACGGTGCTTTCCTAAGATCAGACAGTATCCGGCCCTCCCTTAAAGGTCACTGGCCTGGGAGAGACAGCACCATGGCTGTTCTGGCTTGACCCACTTGTGCTGAGGCCCAGCTGGTCCTGGCAGGATGTCAGCCCAGCCTGAGGTGGAGCTTTTGTCTGTCTCCTCCGTGGCCAGAGTGGAACCAGTCCCTAGGAATGTGAAGCCTTTGCCCACCTGCAGCCCGTCCTGTGTGTCATTTAACTTGGGCCTCACCCAGAGCCTCAGGGGAGCCCTGATGGTTGCTCCTGGGAGAGAACCTTGGTCTGCTCTTCAGCTTCCTAGGGCTGGAAGAAGCACTGAATCAGGTACAGCAGGAAAGAGCTGGGGCGGGGACTGAAGACCTCACTTGCCTGCTGAGCTGCCCCCAGCCAGAGGCTCCCACCTCAGGGCTTTAGGGTCTGAGGAAGAGGAGATGTCCACAGTGGAGGAGGTGAGAGATGCTGTGGAGTTTGAGACCAGAGGCCAGAGGACTCGCTGGACCCCAGAACAGGGACAAGTCTCCATGACTTTCCCGGACTCTTGGGGGTGGCGGGGCCATAGGAGTCACACGGCAGCTCACAGTTACTGAAGACGAGCTGCATGCAGGCCCAGTGCCGAGGACAAAGGGGAGGAGCTTGCGTGTTCCCCTGGTAAACCTCAGCTCCTTTGCACGCTCTCGGGAGACCACAAGGGAGGAGAGTTCCCGGTGTTCAGAGACCACACTGCAGCGCAACGCAGGGCTCCACACCCACGTGGGCTGGAGAAACCACTTGAGCATCTCTGAGCCTGTTTCCTCATGTATCAAATGGGGATGCTGCCACCTTCCTGTGTGAGCTGCCCTGAGATAAGGGAAGCATGTGGGCACGATCCCAGCCCAGTGTTGTGCACGGCATAGATACACAGCTGTCGGCACTGGTGTGAGAGCGTCAGCACCCCTCTATTCAGTGGGGAGGGGCTAGGATCGATCCCTTCGCTTGAGTCACAGGGGAGTCCTGCTGGTTGCTGCTGGCAAGAGAACCTGGTGAGGTACTTTGGCTTCCTGGGCCTGGACGAGGCCGTTGGCTGCTGAGTTGGGCCCACCAAGGAGAGCCCGCTTCCTCCAGGAGGGAAAAGAAGAGGAGGACAGGAAGGGTCTGCAGAGCCCAAGGGCGGGGCCCTGGATGGAGCCACCTCTGTCTCAGCAAGGTCAGGAGAGGCATCAGCGGGGGCTGTTAGCAGCCCCGGGTCGGATCTCAGCTGAACCCTCTGAGCTGTAAGACCTTGGCCAAGAGGCCTCCTTATCTCCGAATTCATTTCCCAGTTGTGTAAAATGGAGGAGGTGGCTATGGGGCTGGGGCCAGTGTACCCAGAGGTGATAGCTGAGCAGCCTCCTTCCCTCGGGCCCCAGGTCTGCCGGCAGGCCCTGAGGTTCCTGGTGCAGATCCAGGCACAGCCCCTCATCAACCTTCAGCTGGTGAACCCCTCGCTGTACGAGCACGTGGATCGGATGCGCCTCATCAGCCAGAGCCGGGAGCAGCTGAAGCTCCTGGGGGATTACCTGGGCCTGTGTCGCAGCGGAGCCCTCCAGGAGCTGAGCAAGAGGTGAGAGCGTGGGTAGGTGGGGGACTCCCCACCAGGCTTGTGGAATGACCACAGCTTGGGGGACTCGTGTACACATTCAGTTCATTCAGTATCTACTGGGAACGACCGAGCACCAAGCGGCAGGCGGGGTTGTGTTTGGGTCTCACGCTCAGCAGGGCAGGTGCGGGTTCTGACTTCTGGAGTGTGGTGCGCAACCTCAGCCAGAGGAAGGAAGAAGGCGCTGGAAGTGCAGAGGGAGACTGTTGAGCAGACGAAGGTGGTACAGGCTAGGGGGCTTCCTGGAGGAGGCAGCCACCAAGGTGAGGCATGCAAGTGAGGAGGAGCCAGAAAAGGCAGGGAGAAGGCTCAGGGAGGACCTTGGCCGGGGTGGAAGTGTGGTGAGCAGCAGACCCAGGAGGCTGTGCTTCCCGTCTCCTCCCTGTGCCTGCTGCGTGCCGCTGTCCTGGCAGCACCCTCCTGGAAGGATGGTGCAGAAGCTCCTTGGTACTTGGTGGGAGGTGAGGCTGGGCTGGAGGATGGGCTTGGAAGCCAGCAGGGCCCATTGCAGGTGCCCTGGCTTCACCTCTGCAGTGCTGGTCCTGGTCAGCCACATCAGCTGTGCTCCATGGGGCTGGGGGAGGGGAGAGCAGCCCCTGGGCCTGCAGCACTTACCTTCCTCCCTTGGGCTGATTGGAAGATGCTGTGTCGGCTCGCCTGGGCCTCTCGTTTTGGGTAGGCTGGCTTGTCCTTCCCTTTCTGAGATGCCATGGCCTCCTGCTCTTCGAGGTGGTAGAATGTCTTGGGCTGTCACCTGCCCCAGGGTCTGCAGGGGTTGCAGACCTGTGCAGACCAGGACCCCCAGTGGGCTCCGGTGGGGTGGTGCCATCTCCCCGACCTTGCTGCATGCGTGTCCAGCCTGCTAGTGGGCAGGCTCTGCCTGTACAAGTCCTGTGTAGAGCAGGTACAGGAGAGGAAAAGGTATAAGACCACGCTGCCCAGCCCCAGCCTCACCGATGGCCCAGCTTCCCAGCTCTAGCATGGGCCCGGAAACCCTTTGTTTCTGTGGCCTTCCTGAGTCAGGGTGAGGGCCGCATGAGGAGGTCATCACTTGGCAGACAGATGGCCCGGGTCAGCACGGTGTGTGCCTTGAGGGATGGCGCTGACCTAGCCTGGAGGCCTCCAGCCTTTCTGTGTTCTCATTCTCTCATCTTCATTCTCATTCATGGTCCCTCCTTTCCTCTCTCTGATGTTTTGTTTTTGTTTTGAGGTGGGGTCTCACTACGTAGCCCAACCTGGCCTCAAACTTGTGATCCTCCTGCTTCAGCCTCCTAAGTGCTGGGATTATAGGTGTGCACTACTTCCTATATCTGGCCTTGATTCAGTGTTCCAAGGCCTCAGAGAACAGTGGTTCCCAGTGCAGGCCCAGGCCCAGGCCCTGGCCGGTGTCCAGGGCTTCCAGAATTGGACAGAGGGCAGATGATGGGATAATGTTCCATCCCCGCCATCCCCACCCCTCCCTGCCTGCTCAGGGCTGCCCTGTGTGTCCCCACCTTCCTGGTGATCAATCAGAAAGCAGAGCATTCGGTGAGGAAAACAGCACGGTGAGCAGAGTGGCCAGTTGGCAGTGTCCTCACCCCTGGCACATGTGCCTGTCGGCCATCCTGAACAGGTTCCTGGCTTCCTGTGATGCACAGTGCCCACAGACAGAGCAAGGCCAGCAGGACTGTGCCAGGGGTTTTCTGCAGGCACTTCCTCTCCAACCCTCCGGATGTGACCGGGGCCTGCTGGGGAGTGGTGGGAACCAGAGCCCTCATCCTCCACCCCCACCCCATCTCTGAAATGGGATCTGGGCCCCTCTCACATACCACTGACACCAGAGACCAAGTGTCCTTCAGCTGGACCTGGGGCTGCAAGAGGGCAGTAGCCACATCTGCATTTCTCCCCTGGTTTCTGGAGTGGGGTGGAAGAGGATCCAGTCTCTGGCACCAGACTCCTGCCCCCCACATCTCCGGCACTGATTTACTGTGTGGCCTCAGGCAAGTTACTTACTCTGTAAGCTTCTTGTCTTCTCCAAAGGGCTTGCTTCACAGGATTGTTACAAGGTGAGAGGAGCACATGGAGGCTCTTAGCCCAGTTTCTGGTACCTGGGGTCAGCACGCAGCAGCAGCATTGTACTGTCAACTAGTCATGTGTGTGCTGTGTGCTCGGCACTGTGCCACATGCTTGACATGAATTATTAATCCCAAAATAGCTCCATTTCTCAGGACACCTGTGGCTCCAAGAGTTTGTTGCTTACCCAAGTCCCACCAGCTCGTGGTTTCCCTGGGAGGCTCTGCCAGCCAGCAGTGCTGTGGGGAGGGAGATATCCTAGCCTGGCCTGGTCCTCAAGCCTGGCTGAGGAAGCCCTTGTATTTGTTTCAGGCTTGGCCACAGGCATTATCTCCTGGAGTCTCCCCACAAGTTCAGTGTCGCTGACCTGCAACAGGTGAGCAGGTGTGGCCCTCCCCAGAGCTCCAGTCCTGGAGAAACCGGAAGGGAAGCGGGAAGAAGGAACCTGCAGTGCCTCAGCTTCTCCCCACAGAATGGGCTTCCTGCTGTGCCCAGCCTCCTGACAGGGACTGACAAACATACTCTACAGACCTGGTGCCGGGAGTGAAAGTTTGGGACCCTGCTTTCCTCCGGGGGAGAGTAGGTCTGGGAGAGGGGTTTGGGGCCCGTTACAAATGCCATGACCCGCAGAGAGCTTGGGGTGCAGCGCTGGCTGTCCCCCTGCCCGCATCGGAGTAGGACAGGCCTCAGTTGAGGAGTGTGGCACGGCATCACAGCTGCTAAGGCCAGGCCTGCACCCCCAGATTGCAGAGGGGGAGTATGAAGGGTTCCTCAAGGCCCTGATCGAGTCCGCCTCCCAGCACATCTACCACTGTGACCTGTGCACCCAGCGGGGCTTTATCTGCCAGATTTGTCACCACCACGACATCATCTTCCCCTTCGAGTTCGACACCACAGTCAGGTATGTGGGACGCCCGCAGCACTCACACCCTGGCCCAGGTCCCGGCAATGGGTCGGTGCCGTGGCTGGGTAGTGAGGCTGTCCAGAGCAGCCGAGGCCCGGGCTTCCCCTACTGCTGAACCCTTGTCACCCAGAGAGCGGCGGCCCGGGCTCTCCAGTCAGGGCCTCCCTGACCTCAGTCTGCGCATGGGTGGAGGAGGGGTTGAACAGGTTCCCGCCCAGCCAGAAACAGGCACCTGCACAGCCTCTGCACTGCAGTGGTCATTCTTACCCCATTATTCCTCAGGAGGGGAAACCTCTGAGTGGAAAGATTTCACCTCAGTCTTCCTTCAGCCCACAGAGGAGCCAGTGCCCTGTCTCAGGAGATTCGCCCAGCCAGGACACAGCCTGACTGGCCTGAGGCTGCCTTTACACTGGAGTTTTGTTTTGGTTTCTTTTCCTCATTGTACCCCGGGGTATTTTAAAGGCAGCATTTAGGGACACTCAAGCAGCAGTTCTAATAATGCGGTGGGGCAGAGGGCAGTATGTGTGGATGGCCCGCAGTCTTCTCGTCTGAAGCAGCCCTCCCAGCACGGGACAGGGCACCACGTGTGGGCATGGGCTGCAGAACAGAGCACAGCTCACTGGGCCTTCTGGCCAGAGCCCAGGCTGCACCCTGCCCCGCTCGGTACAAGCAGCTGCTCTCTCCTCAGGTGTGCCCAGTGCAAGACAGTCTTCCACCAGAGCTGCCAGGCTGTGGTAAAGGACTGCCCCCGCTGTGCCCGCCGGCGCAAGTACCAGGAGCAAAACAGTCTCTCCTAAACCTGGCTGGCAGCCTGGTGTGCCATCAGCCAGGCTCCTGTCTCACCAGCGTCACCGCATCTCCCTCGTCGGGAAGACCCCCGTGGAGCCAGGGCAGTGGTGCCCTTGGCCCCGCGCCATCCTCCCTTCTAATGCCCCAGCCAGGGCCGGAGAGGCCTGCACCAGGCCCGGCCCCCTCACGTCACGACCCTGCCATTAGGGCCATTCTGACACTGTGGAAACAAGACTCGGGGACATGTTCAATTCCACATTCCCAATTAAAAGGTCTAGTTTTTTAAGGTGGGTTTTTCTTCCCGTAATATTTCAACAGAAAATATTTTTTTATTCTTGATCCCAAACAAGTGTCCCCAGAAATCCAGGCCTTGTCACCCAGAGCAGATGTGCAGTAGGCCCTCAGTCTGGCCTGGGGCAGAGCTGCTGCAGATGGCGGGTCAGTCAGTCCTGAGGGCCGTCGTCCCACCTCTTGGCTCCCTCCCGCTGCTCCTCACCAAAGCCTCCCTCCTCAGTGTCAGTCCCCTGCTCTTCCTGGGTCTGGGGCGCTGGCCTTGGCAAAAGGAAGGAAATGACTCAAAACCAGCACTGTCAGCACTTTGCGCTTTCCTGGTTCAAGGAAGGCTGGCATCACCCGCCCTTAGCTCCGTGTCCTCCGCACGCCCACAGCCAGGGCCACCTCAGGCGGCTCTCAGGGTCATACCTCCACCTGGCTGACCTTGAGGACAGACAAAGATGGATCCCCAAAAGGACAAGCGTGCCCAGACACCACTCGGGGGCAGTGACCTGTTCTGAGCTGCATGGGGCCATGCAGAGAAGCAACTCAGCTTTGCCAAGCTGCAGGCTCACCCAGCCTCCAGCAGGGGCACTGCCAGGGCCTGGAAAGTTCCCTGGAGCATGGGTGTCTTTTGAAAGGGGCGTAGGAGCAGGGAGGGAACCTGAACAGATCCCAAAGTAAAGTTCAGACCGTGGAGGCTTAGGGGAAAGTATGGGCATGAGCTCTGCTTTCCCCTCCTCTCCTGACCAGTAGGCCCCTCTGGCCTCCCGCATCTGCCTTGTCTTGGAGTCAAAGGCCTCAGGACATGCGCCTGTCACTGTCAGGAAGTGAGTGTTCAGGTGGAGATGCGGCCCAGTGAAGGCTTTCACCTACAATGCCCAAGGCCTAGGTTCCATCCCAGCACCAAAGGGAGGAAGGAAGGAAGGAAAAGATGAGCCTTTCCTGCCCTCCCTGGAACGATAGGGCTGCTGAGTCACCTGCCCAACCCCAAAGAGCTGGAGGAATTGTGCAACAGAGGAGGCAGGTAGCAGTGGCTGCCACACGGCTCCTCTGTCCCCAGGATGTGTCCCCGTGAGGAAAGGTGAAAACATCTATGCCCAGAACACCAAAGCCTGAGCAGGAAGGGGCCCATCTCCCCACCAGACACAGCATTACTGCTCCCACAAAGGCCGCAGGTCCTTGAGTGGGCAAGAGTCACCCGGGGTGGGGCTTGGGCCTGAGAGTACATCCCAGGTGCCCTGGGAGGCAGCAGGAGCAAGTCCTGGCTGGGGGCCTCCTCCCATCCCTCCTTTTACTGAAAAGCTGCTCATGCAGTCCGGTGCACTGACTCTAACCCACACCTCCAGCGGAGAGCTGCTGGGTGCCTCACTGAAGCCCACACTTCTTCAGATGGGATTGTATGCAATGAACTTGAGAGAGGGGCTCTGCCCTTGAGAATTGCTTGGCAGTGTATTAAAGGAACTGCTGCTGTGTGCTTTTGACTGATTTTGCAGTAAAGACCTGATCTTTCTCATCTCTCTAGCTTTGGAATTCAATCCCTGCTACTGGGAGGAGACATCAGCCGTGCAAGGGCTTCAGGGCCCTCCTATGGGTCCATCTCTGTGGGGAGAATTGCAGCCCGCAGGCAGGGATTTGTACCCTGGGGGGCAGGGAGAAAAGGCATGGGCAGCGGTGTCCAGGCCTCCTTGTCGTGCCCAGGAGCCGGGTCCCTGGGATGGGCTCCAGGATCTCGAACTGTGACAGCCAAAGCTGGCTGCCCATGGCTTCATTTCCCCGTAAATGCCAGGACACTGCAGCCACGGGAACCCAGGAGGAGCCAGGGAGTGTGAAGGGGCGGAAGAATGAGTTCAGCAGAGCCCCTTGTGGGTTTAGGGTCTTTACTTGGCTGCTGTCTTCCTCTGAAGATCCCAGAGAAGCCCTTCACTGTCCCTGCAAGGACAAAAGAAGGTAATGCAAAATCCTGGGGAAATCAGGTAGCAGGAAAATGAGGCAGAAAAAGAGCATTCGCTTCCTGCTAAATACTGCTCTCAGCCCATGAGTGGGCTCTCCCTCTCCACCCTTGAGCCCAGCTCTTCCAGGAGCAGTGGCTTGGAGGAGGCAGGCTAGGTGGAGGGCGCAAGGCTGAGAGCTGGTGCTGCCTGCTGTCCTTAGCAAAGTGCCCTGGAGGGCACAATTTCCCTCTGCCTAGTGGTGGATGGGACGATTAGAGAAGCGAATCTAACCTCAGTATGAGCAGTAGTGATAGTACATGCACACCTGGAATTACAGCACTCTGAAGCTGAGGCAGGATCGCAAGTTCAAGCCCAGCCTGGGCAACTTAGACCATGTCTCAAAAAATTTAATGGAAGGTCGACAATATAGCTGGGTTCAGTCCCCGGTACTGCAAAATAATAAAATGCTTACCCGTATTGCCCTTGCTATATCATTCAGTTCTCCCAGCAAGCCATGAGGAAGGCAGCACTATCCCACTTGCAGGGAGGAAAGATGCAACCCTAAGGCCACACTCCCAAACGTCGAGAGGCTAGCATATGGCAGCACTGCACATCAGACCCCGGAAAGGACCACCATACACCTGCCTGACGCGCTGGGTGAGGCGGTGAGGAGGGCTTGTCCAGCCAGTCCACCAAGCGTGCAGGGCACCATGCTTAGCCCAGCTGCCTGTCTGTTCTGTCGGATCCTAAGATGCCACCAGGCCTCAGACACAGGTACCCAGCACAGTGTGGACTCTCCAGTGGGCAGCGCCAGAATCAGAGATGAGGAAAGGTAGCTCAAGAAATTATGAGCCAGGCGTAGTGATGCACACCTGTGATCCCAGCACTCAAGAGGCTGAGGCAGGAGGATCATTGAGTTCATTGCTGTCCTGGGCTACAAAGCCAGTTCAAGTTCAGCCTGAACTAAATAGCTAGACCTTGTCTCAAGAGTATTAGGCACCACGGAACACAACTACTCAAGTGGCTGAGGCAGGAAAGACCAAGGGTTCTAGCACAGCCTGACAGTTTAGGGAGACCGTATCTCAAAAAAGGGCTGGGATGTAGCACAGTAGTTGAGCGCCCCCTGGGTTCGGTCCACAGTATGGGGAAGGGGCGTGGTGTAGATGCAGTTCCAGCCAAACCCTGGGTCCTACTCAGGCACTGTCTGGCATCCAGGGGGACTTGGGAGTGGCTCCCTCCTCTCAGCACAAGCACCCATGTAGATGGACCACTCTTCCTTGGGGGCCCTGACAAAGGGTCCACGGGGGCTGGTCTGCCCATGGCTGGAGTGAAAACTGGGTCAAGTCACAGGGACTAGGCTACTTTCCCGAGGCAGACTATTCCCGGAGAGAAGACCCCCAAGGGGAGGGCACTGGACTCCATTGGAGTCCCTGGCCTCCAGGAGGCTGCTGGGCAGATTGGAGGGGCTCCCCTCTACAACGGCAGGAATCACGATCATCAGGGGTCGCGATCGGAGGGAAATCGGGTTGAAGTCCATTTCGGGCCCATCCCTGGAGACAGATGTAGCCTAGGATCCCACCCCGTGAGGTGCATGGGGGAAAGGGTGGCGTCTCTGCTCCTGGGGCGAGCGGGACGGCCCAGAGGGGACAGGAAGCCGGGACACCGGGGATTGTCTCTTGCAACCGCAGCCCAGCCCCAGCCCGGGAGGAAGTTCTGCCGGGCGCTCCGCCGGTGCCTCCCTCGTATATTGTTGAACAGGAAACAGGGCAGCTCGGAGGCCAGGCTGTGCAGGAGGGAGCGCGGACGCCGAGCCGCGCGCGCCTGCCGGGAAGAGTGGAAGCGAGGCCAGCGGGCA